GGTCAATGTGGTATAACAACCTCGTATAACACTCCTTATTGACGGAAGGGATTCCTTCCGGTTGATGAGGTACAACATCTCAACAGAGGGTATCTCTTCCGGTCAATGAGGTATAATATCCTCATCATCCCAAAGGGATTCCTTCCCTCAATGAGGATGTTATACCTCATCAACCAGAAGGAATCCTTTCTGGTCGATGAGGGTAACAACCTCATCAATCGGAAGGAATCCCTTCTAATCGATGAGGTTGTTATAAACCTCATTGATTGGAAGTCAATGAGGGTAACAAACTCATCGATTGGAAGGAATTCCTCCCAATCGATGAGGATGTTATACCTCATTGACCAGGAGGATACCTTCCGGCCGATGAGGTTTTTCTTTCTCATAGACCGGAAGGAAACCCTTCCGGTCATGGGGGTGAGCAGCTCCCAAACCCCCTCAAGCATGAGGGGTGGGTTGGGGCGCCAACTCCCTAAAAATCCAAAAAATTAAAAAAAAATTGGATGGCAACTCCCAAAGTCGGCCATTGATTTAAAAGAATGACTCCCGTCCGACGACCCCTCAACCAAAATGGGAGTCGTTGGACAATTTTTGGGAGTCGTTTTTCCGACCTCCTGTATATATATGTTAATTAGGTACCAGGCTCATAGTTTTGTCTGTTGAAAAAAACATCTTTACTTGTCTAGTTTGAACTTTTTATGTATCATTCATGTCTGAAATGACAAATTGAATAACAAAGACTGTAGGCAAAGGAGGGGGATTGGATTTTCAATCCTTTTGAACCTGCTACCCATGAGGAATCTCAGGTATCCAAGCAGCCTATATCAATGGTTGTGGTATAGTGACTTGAGGAGGTATCACAATTTCCTTAGGTCAAGGCTTTTGGGATTGAGCTGTGCTTCCAGTCTGTGTAATTCTGCACTGTCTGGTCTCTGTTTTTTATCATGTACGAGAGGTGAAATCATGAATATTCTCCAATTGAAACTTTCCCCTTGATGATGACCACACCTGAAACTGTACTTCTAATCAACATTTTTATCTTGTAATCATGCTGGCTAAAGTCTACTGTTTCAAACCATGCAGTGGCTATGTCCTTGGAACAGGGCTTCTGCAATGGATCCCAAGCCATGCTTTGACATTGTACTATTTTCTTACACCTGCTCTATGTGTTGTATGTCCATGTATGAGGGGGGTAAAGTTTAACAGTTTCCGAAACAGGAGCATCCAATTGAGTCATGGAATACTTTCTGCATAATTGACAGCTGCACCCAAAACTGTACATATCAATGTGTTTCTATTGTAATCAACTGCATTGCTTGGATGTATTCCTTCCATGTTGAATGAGGCAGAAAGTGTTAGCATAACAGTTTTACAAAACCAGAAGTATCCAATCAAGACCTGTCTCATCATGATAGCTGAACTCCCAACTGCACTTGAAAAGTCTGTCTATCTGTAATACACTAACTCTGACCAAGTTCCAACGTGTGAATGCCAAGCTTGCACACTGGTCTGAGTGGTGGAGACAAACAAATAAGTGTATGGTGTATTACATTTCATATGTATTTTGCTGGGCCACAATGAAATATTGGCATGGAGGGTAAACTTTGAGTTGATTACATAAGTTTTTATTTGCTGTGTTACAACAAGTTTGGATGAGGTTGGTGTACTGACCTTTGAGGATGGTTCAACCACTTGACTGTAGATAAGAAGCCGCAGTACATCTCCACATGCATTTAAAAGGGCTCCTCCGCCACTATCAGGAACTCCCCATCCTCCTAAAGTTGATTTACAGAATATTTGAATTTCCAGTTGTTCAAGAAGAATCTTCATCCACTACTTTTGATCTCACCCATTAGAAACTGATTTATTGGACCCTTGGATAAATATTTTGATAATAATCCTAATCATTACCCATTACATTACATCTAATCTACATTGTGATTCCCCTATCTGCTTTATAAATTATAACATCAAGATTCTACAGATCCCAGTCACCTTGTCCTGCTGACTTCAAGAGAAATTTGACACATTGGTAAGTAAAATTAATTCTCATAACACATTCATTTGTAATGATAATTAACACATGCCTGAGTGCCCAGAAGAACTTCAATCATGTTCTCACAGCTATGTATCATTAGCCTGATCTACATCATAATCCATATCCAGGGGGCTTATGGATATCTATACATGATGGGTACATGTTTCAGACAAACACATCCATGTATTTTATTCAAACACCAAGCCATATCCTGGGATCAAATGACGTGAAGGACAGCACCTTGAATCTTGAAGATGTATACTCTGACTTAATTTATCGTTCATATGGA